AGACGTGTGCTCTTCCGATCTCCCCAAAACCCCAAAACCCCAAAACCCCGTTTGAAATGATTAAGAAAGAGTTTGAATATATAGGAAATTATCAAATTAAGAAAGCTTATTTTCACAGAAGAATTTTTATTTTTCCTTCTTTTTAGTATACTATTTGGTTAAATCAAATCGTAATTGGCTGTGCAGGAGGCTTTTTCTTGAGGAGTGATGAGGCTATAACTCCCATCAAGCCTAGAGCAACTAAGAATGCTAATGGAACTCTGCGATCTTCAAATTCAGCGACCATAGGGGCTAGCATTGTCAGACCTCTACAGAAGAAGTTGCAGATACCATAACTTGTAACTAAGAAATGCGAGGGGAATAGTTCAAGATGAATAGCATATGCAAATCCGAAAGATAAAGTAGCACCACTCTTAGCCAATAGAAGAGTTAAGGCATAAAGCAATAACTGCTCTGAATTAGCATCAAAGAATGAAAGCAAGATAGCAGCTATCAATGATAACACAAAACTCAATATCTGCCCACCTTTAAGGTCTAACTGCTTTTAAAGTTTGCCTTCTATTAATAAAGCAATTGCTGAGAGACCTGAAACCATTGAGTTATAGTAGATATCTCCTGGCATGTATTTTATTAAGAAATTAAGCAAGTAAAAGGAGAAACTGCCAGATACCCAAGCCATGATCATCATCATTAGATTGTGAATCAAGTGAGGCTCAGATCTCAATTTTTCCATAAATGTCATAGTGCGGGCTTTCTAATTTTTGGCAAGCATAATTTCTAAATTAGAATTCTTTTTGTCGATAAATCTCTTCACCAAGGAGTTACAAACAAGCTAATCACCAGGGTTTGATCTATTGAACTTGAAAATATAATCAATGTCACGCTTTGCTTGATCGAATTTACCTTTCTCTAATTGATACTTAATAGATTCTGGGATATACACTATTGAGAATACTAATAGCCCAGATACATTGATGAAAAGTGGTATATAAAGAAGCCAGTCAGTGTCTTTTGATAGGTGCTCAAGAAGTAGTGGTGACACTACTAGTACCATTCCATCAATAAAAAACACGAGTCCACTAACAGTTGATACTCGGCCTGGAAGAAACTCCATAAGATGTGTGTAAGCAATCATAGCCTTTGATGGTACTGAAAACCCTATGAAGAAGATAGCTACATAATATACAATTTGATTCGGAAAAAATAGCAATGCTGCGAAGCACAGTGCTTATTGCAAGCATACACCAACAGCAAATCTTTTTCTTCCGTAAGCATCAGCCAGAGGAGGAAAGATTAAGCATGATGATATATAGCCAAGAAAAAACATAGAACCAAATAGTCCAATCTCAAATTTCAAGCCACATTCTAAGTCAAATCTTTCAATCCAATTGTATAAAGAATACCTATGCTCCCAGTTAATCATTTTTTAGCATCTACTTGAGGCTCCATTGCACAAATTTCTGCTCTGTGACACTCTCTAAATAAAGTGTTACCTGCTTGATCAAGACCGTCTGGACAGCTAAAGACTGGAGGCATGAGAAAAAATGCGAAATTAAAACTTAAAAATGCCGTAGTCACAAACATGTATAGATAGAATACCGTCATAAACTTTTGATATCTACCATAAGGAATCACTTTCATGACATCACCTACTTAAATAGGATCTACGTTTGGATCGCCAGTTTTAAAAAATGAATCATCTCCTGCTGGCATGTATTTGCCTTTTTGTTGTTAAAGCTCATATTATTAATGCTCACTCATGCCAGAGATCTAGTGGCCAATAATGCTTGATTATGATAGTAAAAATGATCCGAAATTCATTTTGTGTATGCCAGATATTGAAAATACAAGTTATAATATAATTTGTGCAGCAGAGTAGTGCTATAGATAGTTTATATTGATATACTAAGACTCAATTAATTAATATCCAAATCAGTCATTATATTTTGAAATGCTCATTTTTAATAATGCTGACATAATGGGGTTTTGGGGTTTTGGGGTTTTGGGGTTTTGGGGTTTTGGGG